GCTTACAATAATAATCAGAAAACCCAATTTGCAGTGGCTTAAAATGAACAGTTTGAGTTTTTCCCTTTATAGGGCATGAGGTTGTAGACACTGTTCAAAGGTCAGTCTTGCGTTGACCTGTCCATCATGGTTCCGTGATAACTACCATAGTCCAAATTATTATATTTGTGATTCTGACAGAAAGGTGGTAGAGTGGGAAGATAGCACCTTCCCTTTAGGGGAAGAAATGCTTCTACTTATAACATTGTAGGGGAATGGTGGGTCTTAGAGACATGCACTGCTGCAAGACTATCTGGGATCGTTCATGGTACCTTGAATCGTAAGAGGCTCATAATCTTTTCACAGCATTTAGAGCATTGCATTCTATAAAGAACAGAGAATGGAGTAGAGAGGGAGTTATGCTATGTGGCAACCCTCTGCCAGGAATGCTCATATAAAGTCTTACAGAAGAGGTGCATCTAGGTTAATGCTTGAAAAATAACAGACAGGCAGATAATACAGAAAAAGTAGGATATTCTTGGGAGGGACAATTATTTGAAAAGTCACAAAGTCATGAAAATAAGGTGAAAAAATACCAGGAACGTTTATTAGTTGAAGACCAGGTGAGAATTTTTAAGTGTGAGCTAGTGGCAACAAGCTTAACTGACTGGTAAGGAGCATAGCTGTTACTCCGTGAGCCACATGAAAGCTCTAGGAGTCTTCATTCAGACACCCATTTTCCAGCACTGCTTGTCTCTGTAGCTTGAAGCTGATGTTCTTCTTCATGTGCTGTCTGCACACAGTCTCCGATTTCCCAGCTCTTCTGCAGCAGGAATGAACTTATGAGCCCTCTTATGTATAAGTACTTCAGAGGCCAAAATGTGGGCTTGATTCTTTCCATAGACTCATCCTCACACTGAGGTCTTTTTCTACCTTTGAACTTCTTTTTTGTGCCCTTGATGTTTGTGGAGTTCTCATCTCCCCTTTGATCACCTTAACTTCTCTCTTCCCAAATGCTGTTGAAGTTTTCTGGATGGTAATTAGTTGCAACCAGTTCTTCAGGCTCACTAGAGTCTGACTACAAATCTGCACACATCCTCAGCCTTTATAAAAGTTTCAGCTCCAGTGATATCACATTCCCAAACCCCCATGCTGACAGCCTCAGCAGCCTATATGATAATCCCCTTCTCCTTTTCTGATGAATGCTGCACAGAAGACTCACCTAGTAAGTGTATTCAGAAGTCCTCAGTTACCTGTAAGTTCAGGTCTATCCCAAGGTAAGAAAGGAAAGTTTCACCTCTAGTCCCCCAATCTTCTTTAAACATTATGTTCCAGAGAATCGTGTCATAGTTGCAGGTAAAGGAGAATAATGAATAGGCACTTCTATTTCTAGTTTTTCTCTCTACTTGAATTCCAATCTTATCTATCCTGATTTCTGACCAGATAGGGAAGAACAATTATTTATCTAAATTTCTATACCTGAATGGGGTCTTTGTTAGTTACTTTGCTCTTTACTGTGACAAAAATATCTAACAAGTTACTTGAAGGAGGGATTTACTTTGGTATGGTAAACAAGGCATGGTGGCAGGAGTGATTGGAGGTTGGCCGCTCACGTTCTCCATTTTGTTCAGTCCTGGACTCCGACCTCATGGAGTGATGCTGCCCACCTTTAGGGTGGGTCTTCCCACTTCAGTTTATTCTCACTGACACGTACAGAGAAACTTGTCTCCTATATTGATTCTAGACCCTCACAAAGCATAATGAGAATGTCAGTTGTCTTTTCCAGGTATGGTAAGAACAAATGAGTTCTGACAAGTAAAGTGTTCAGAGCAGTGTTTGGCATACAGCAAGTATCAAACCATTGTTTGGGAAGAGCAAACTATTATAATCACCACCATTATCAATATTATTCTTATGACTGCAGTGCTAATGGACCTCAGAAATGAGAATGAGTTATGACAGATTCTTATCACAAACCCTGCAGATCTGAACAACTTTGTTTGCCAGCTTCACACAAAAATCTATTTGGGGCACATTCTTCAGTGTCGGTCTCAGGTGCTGCTGCCTTCAAGCCAGCAGTGATTGCTGGTCTGTCCTTCAAGAGGCCAAGAAATGGCATTCCTCACCAAGCAGAGAGCAATGAGTCAGTGTTTCAGAATCATGAATGTGGCTTAATACAGGAATAAAATCTGTTTTGTACATACCACCCCCTGCTGTGTGACACTGGGCAGCTTACTGTGTCACTCTGGACCCTAGTTTCTTGTAAAAGTGGCTCTGCTGGGGGAGGGATCATGACTAGTTACCCCTCTCTGACTCTTGTTTATAGGAGTTTAGAGAGTCAATTGTCCTATTTGTTTAATGCTAATATAACAGTGTACCTGAGACTGAGGGCTTTATTGGAGATCCATTTCCTACTATGCAAATACCTTGATAGCCTAGGGCAGAGGCAGAAATGTATTAGGGAGAAAGAGGGAGGAAGGAAGCAAACTCCTTTTATCAGATGCTCACCCCCTCCAAAAAGGCATTTGCTCTCCTATTTAAATTCCCTCCTTAGAGAGCTTAAGCTGTTAATGCATAAATTTGGGGGAATGCTTTCAAAATACAGCACCATCAAATGCAGACCTCTTGGTGAGCCCTTAAGAGACATCTCCTCTTCAGGGACACATGGTACCCTCTTCCCCTCCTTACAGGTGTCCCACAGAGGTTTCTGTGGGTCTAGTTATTCTTACTCCATGCTGAGGTTTGGTCTTGCTTGACTTCTGTAGACACTGGGAATGTGACCAGTTATGGGGACTACCATCATGGAGCAGCCTCCTTGGAACCAGCCCTTCCCCGGTTCTGCTGTCTTTTAGCTTATTAATTCATCCCATACCCATCTTCCCTATCTGCTTCAGCCCCACTGTTGATATCTGCTAATACCTTCGCCCATCAGTAGCTCCATCTTCATAGGAACTCTACAGCCATTCCTGACTTTGCTGGGCTCCACATCCAGCTCAGAGAAAGTGCGGTGGTTAGTCAAGTAGTCTCCGAGGTGGGTAACAAGGTACCAAGCACAATTTTGTGAGACCATGGGAAAACAGAATCCTCTGGAACCTCCCTTCCTTTCCAAGACAGAGTACTATTCACAGTGATGCCCGATGGATTTTCTTCATTAAAATTTAATTCAAATTATTCATTGTTAATAGTCATGATATAATAGTAAGAACTACTTGTAAGAATAAGTACCAATAAATATTAATAATGAGGTACTTAGAATAATTTTGGTGCTTATTATACTCTAAATATTCACTTACTTTTATCAGTTTTCCTCTTTCATATTTTCTCTTTACAACCAAGTCAAAAAAAATGTGTACCCAATGCCTCATTTTCTCACCAGGGCATCACAACAGTTTCCCCAGCTTTGATTTTGGTCTGTTTACCTTACCAGGTACACCTTTACACACAGTGAAGGCCTGAAAACCTAGTCTGTCATTTTGCGCCCCCCCCCCTCTCTCTGTCTCTCTGTCTCTCTGTCTCTGTCTCTCTCTCTCTCTCTCTTTCTCTCTCTTTCTCTCTGGAATCTATAGTAGTCAGGTCTATCTGAGTTCCAGATGTTGACTTCTCAGGTATAGGAGGTCAGCCCAGCTGTGGTGTGGGAAGTCCTTCTGTCTATGTGTTGCTTTTATTGGTTAATGAATAAACAAAACTGTCTTGGCCTATAGCAAGGCAGAACTTAGCTAGGCAGGGAAAACTAAACTGAATGCTGGGAAAAAGGAGGCAGAGTCAGGGAGAAGCCATATAGCCCTTCCAGAGACACATGCTGGAACTTTACCCAGTAAGTCACAGCTTCATGGCGATACACAGATTAATGGAGATGGATTAATTTGAGTTAAGAGTTAACCAGAAATACACTTAAGCTTTTGGCCAAACAGTATTGCAAATAATATGGTTTCTGTGTGTTTATTGCGGGACCGGGTGGGACAGAAACCTCCTACTACAAAACTGGATCTTCTATGCCCCAGACTATGCTTCAGCATGATCTTCCTCACATGTCTCACTTTAGCTCATGTCTCCTGGGAACCATGTTTCTCTCCTCTGAGCTCCAAAACAGGCATCTTCTATCATGCTTCTATAGAGTATTTCAGAGCTATCTCCAATGCTTTTTCCTGCACTGTGCCTTCTACCTACCTATGGGGGGGAGGGAGCTATGCATAGTCTATGGACAGCTCCCAGGGTCATGTTCCTTAGGACATCTCTCAATCTGGCAGACTACAGATGCTAAGGGAACCAACATCTTTGTGAGTGCTTACCCAATGCCAGATTTGCATGATAATGTGTTTACTTTTCATGGTAGTTCTATGAGATTGTCACTCAGTCTTGGCTGAAGACTGAGATCTCAACAATTATTTAAACAGGGAATTCAATATTTAGAAATAGTAACCAGACATAAAGTATAGACTTGGCCCCAAAATGAAACATAAATCAGAAGTTGTAGGGGGCAATTAACAGTGTGGTGCTTAAAGAACAGAGAGAGAAACGATATGGAGAGAATTCAAACTCACACCCTTGAGGTCAGCAATGTCAGGCAGCTGTTCTGGACAGAGAAGCAGGGACCATGGAACTAAGTGCTTGGAAATATGTGACTTGGATTTCTGAAAGGAAGGAAATACCAATGGTGGTGGAAGAGCTACATGATGTTCTCAGTACCAGGAACCTCCAGGGAAGAGCTATGCCTTCCTGAACTGTCTGCATCACCCAACAGTTTTTGGTTGAAGAGTCCCAGTCTCTACACACAGGAACCGTGTATGCTCCTGTGACACAGAAAATAAGGGAACTTTCCCATGATTAAACAACAGCTTAGAACAGAGGCAAGATTTGATCCTTCACCAGCACTGGTTTCCTTACCACTGCTCTCAACATTTAGAACCAATAGGTGAGTGAATGACCTGCAGACCTACAGATCACAGCTCTTCTAGTCCAAAGCCATAGAGAGCTGTGTTGTGTGGCCCTCTCAATCTGACAGCCTCTTTGCTGCCCTTCAGGTCATCCACTGGAACTCCCCCAAGAAGCTCCGTGTGAAGAACAAACATGTGGAATTCTTCCGTAACCTCTACCTGACCTTTCTTGAGTATGATGGCAACCTCCTGCGGAGGGAACTGTTTGGCTGCCCCAGCGAAACTGATGTCAACAGTGAAAATGTGAGTGTTCAACAGATAATGGGAGAGATTGGCCACATTTTCCATTGTCTGTTTTGGGTCCTTGTTGGGTTTTGGATCAGCTCAGGACTATACACTGAGGAGCAAGACCCTTTACCTGCCATAGAATCTATGGCTCAAGGGAGCAATGGTCAGATCATCTGGTCACTTCCTGTGGATCAATTTGGACTTGGCAGGAGACATTAGCTCAGTTTAATGGGTCAGAATGAGTTTTCAGGCAGATCAAGCTATCAGATTTTCATTCTCTGCTTCATGGCCAGGAAATTCCCAAGCTTGTGGTGGTGAAGGCACAGAATTCATTGGCTGGGGCCTAGGGTGACACAGAGGGAGACATCAACAGGTACTGGCTTCTTTCCAGTTGGTTTGGGCAAGGAAAGTGTTGAGTGAAGAGTTACAGGAATAGCAGAAGATATTGGGTGCTTTTGTTGTTGTTGTTATTTCCTATTCTTTCATATGTAGTAATTCATTTTTCTTCGTTGAGTTCTTCTTTTACTATTGAAAAAGTTCAAGTAGAGAAATTAAACAAATTGCCCATGGTAACAGCAAGCAATGATGCCAGCTGTGACTAACACTGAACTCTTAAGGATATTGAAAAAGAGCATGGTAGCCAAAGGCAACAGAAACATAGAATCAAGATGAATTGAGTTTAACTCTAACCATTACCTTTGGTGACACAGAAAACACAGGTCTCATCTTAAAGAGAAAAAAAGTTTCTTGAGCCAATTTTAGTTCCATAGCCTAGGAACACAAATTTGAGTCACCCCAAATTCCATGTTCCAATGTGGAAGCAGTTTTATGAAGTTTTATAAATTCACAAGACAAAAATAATCATAAATCAAGACAAGTTTAAAATACATCAGTGGGTACATCGGGAAAGCAGGTACAGCAAGATGGGGGAAGCTTTTCTATAGGAAGATGCTCTCTTATCTTGGGATAGTGGAAGCTAATGGACTGCTAAGTTAATAGATTGTAAAAGGTTTTAATCTATTAGTCACAAGATGTTAGTTCACAGAGGTAGATAAGGAATGGCTGTCCTGGAAAGTTAGAACTAGCCCAAGGTAATTAGCCTCAAAGGCATGCAACATTCCAGGCTCTCCAGAGTCCTAAAACTCTCCTCACTCAATCGGTCTGCAAGTACAGCTTCTTTTCTGGAATTTTTGTTCAGACTTCTCATTTCTACCTATGTGACCTCAAACAAGTTACCCAGTGTCTCTGTATCTCTAATACTTCTGTTGCAAAATGGGCAAGAAATGACATATATGCTCAGCATCTGCTGTGTATTGGATTCTAACAAAATACACAGTACTTTTTCTCTCTTTCCCAAGGTCCTCAGTATCAGACACAGAAGAAATTGTTTCAGTCATTCAGTATAGAAACACGTACAGAGGGGGTTCTTCTCATTCTGAGCACTAAGACAGATGAAAGGGTGACTGAGGATATGGCTCGTGGTAAAGTATAGTGACTGCACCAGGAAGGGACAGTAGTGCCTCCCTCAGAGTTTGTGTCTCAGCAGGAAAACACAGCGAGCTCGTTGATACCCAACCACCCAACCACCCAAGCTGTGAGGAAAATTTGTTAGCTAATAACCAGTGATACATAGCAATGACTAGTGAAAAGCCAGGCAGATTCTTTCTTTGGGGGGCAGCAAATTGGAGATGACTAGGTAAAATTGACACTGAAACCTAACTGACAAGAAACTCAGCTGTAGTCAAATAAGGGAGATACAGATACATTCCAGGCAGATGATGTATCTGGTGCCACAGACACGGGACTGGTTTGCTGAACAGGATAGGGACTAGTGGGGGGGACAGAGAAGAAGACATAGCAGCTAATGACCAGATAGATGGACATGTGAGCTGACAAAGGTTTTTTTTTAAAAAAAAAATAATAATATTAATAATAAATTAAGTGAGAGTAACTCAAACTAGAATTTTCCTCTGAGACTGGCAAGGCTTTTATAGCTGCCTTAGGTGTCTTGAGAAGTCTTTTAGACTCCCTGTGGAAGGTAGGAAGACCTTCCTGGCCTTTTCTGGAGTAAGTGATCACATGCAAACTTGCTACTTTCTCCTGCTTTTCCCTGTATCCTCCTAGACTCCTCAGTATCTACAGTTCTCTGCTGGCAACAGAGAAGGGAAATCAGAAAGCACTCGAATCTCTTGGGCTCTGAGAAGTACTGTTTCTATTCACCCCCATTTTCCTCAGCTTTTCTCTTTGCTCAAATCAGAGTTTATTCTCAGCAATGATGGTTGAGTGCCTGCTTGGAGTTTTCTCCCAAATGCCCAGTGAAAACTCTGTTCTCCATCATTTCCCCTCTGTGACTCTCTACCCATCACCTCTACATCCCTGTGTTCTCAGGGTTAAGCATCAGTGCTTCAAAGACTGTCTGCCCCCTTTTCCTGTATCCAGAGGATGAAGCAGTCACTTTCTGCCTTTCTCCAAACCTAGAACTATGCTTGATTGTTCATTATGTATATGTAAATGCAAGCCAGAGTCCAAGAAGCTGGCAAGGACCCATTAGACACTGAGCCATATGCAAGCTGCCACTTAACAACCCCTGGTAAAGCAGAGAATCCAGGCTTTCCAGGTCTAAGCACTCAGCACCCCAGTCTTTCCCAAGTACCATGTACCAGCTGCACTTCCCACCACCTAGAATACCTGTGTGCTTTCCCACCACCTAGAATACCTTGTCTCTGCCTGGCATGTTTAAATGTTCTCATTTAATGGTGGCCCAGAGTAACCCCTTAAGTAAAATTCTGTGATCTATCTTATTTTCTTTCCATCATAGCATATGTTACTATATGCAATTACATAGACTCTTTCTTTCCTGTTTTGTTTTCATCCTCAAATATAAGCTTCTAGGTTGGAGACTTTGAACCATTCTCCTCCCAAATCCACTCCTATAACAGAACTAGGCACATGAAAGATACAGAATGAATTTAGTAAAGAATTAGCAAGAATAAAGCATCAGGTAAAAGATAAGGCGGGCAAGTGAAGAGGCAGAAAGCAGTATGATGGTGGCTTCTGTTTGACAGTAGCACAAAGGCTTTGGCTGGGTTGGGAGTTTGGGCTAAAGCCTGTTGGTTTTATAGGCATTCTCACATTTACATTTGAGAGAAGCCAATGCAGAGAACAGTGATAATGGTATTGAACTTCAGCAGCAGCAACAGGAATGGAGAGCTCAGTTGAAATGATTTGTAGATTCTAAGGACAGGTAAGAAAGCACCCACGAAGGCAGCAGGTCCCTGTCACCTGTCTACCTAACTCTAAAGCCCCAAAGCAGAATGGTGATATCCCAGTGCAGCTGCAGGTTTAGACATGACAATGATAAAAAGCCCCTCTTGTTTCTCGTAGTATTTCTTACTTTGCAAACCCTATAAGGTATTTGTTACTGGTTGCATTTTTAGAGAAGGAAATGGGGGCTTAGAGAGTTAAAAATCACAGAACAGGGTGGCAGCAGACTGAGAGCTGATATCAGTCACTATTCCTTCAACTGTTAAAAGTGTTCCCCAATCACCACTCTTCCTTAGCATGACCCCTCTTCCATTTCTTCATAGCACTTGTACTGATTGATATAGTCATGACATCTGTGTTTGTGTCTATCTGTGTGTCTGTGTGTATTTGTGTATGTGCACACAATGTTGACACCAGGGTGTCAGCATTGGTGTGTCCTCCACTGTTGCTCCTAAATTGGGAGACAGGCTGTCATTGAGCCTGGTGCTCACCAATTGGCATCAGTGCCTGGCCCTTGCTTCAGGGATCCACCTGCCTCTACCTTCTTATACTAAAGACGTATGTAATCATGCCTGACCCTTTTTTTGTAGAACTGAAGATTTGAATTTAGGTCCTCAGTCTTACATTGTGTGGGAAGAAATAATTTAGGATACACAGAGAACACAAAGCAAAATAAATTTGGCAAGGCATTTTCTTTTGACAATATGAGAGGTGCATCATGATCCAAACCAGGCTAACAAGCACACCAAAGCAGGACATTCACCAAGTTTTAGTTGTAGCACAGGTAGTGTCTGGGTCTCATCCCATTAGTGGCTGCTCAGCCTTACAGTCTGACTCAGTTGTCTAATTGATGGGAAAGGGCATGAGAGAGTCAAATACCAAGAATATCTTTATGTTGGGCAAACAAATACAAGATGGAGCAAGATTATGGAGTACTGAGCCTTGGAGGGTGAGCTCCCTTTAGTAGAAAAAAAGTGCTACTTTCTCAAAGTAGCAAGCACATTCCCCACTCCATTTTCCCAGCCTCAATTCATGATGTCAGCTTTCCTCTTTCTCTGTCAGAATATCTGCATACACAAACAGACTGCCTGCCATCCGTTTCTTAATTATTCTTATTAACTGTAAGAACCGTAACAGTTGTTTGCCTAAAACGTACATTTGCTAGATGAAGAAATCTAGCCCTGGACAAGACCTGTGACTCTGAGTGTAGTCCAGTTTTCTGTTTTCTCGCCTGTAAAACAGTCATCCAGTTTAATCCATGAAGGCCATGTTTAGAAGGTTAGAAGTTAAGGTGTCCAGTGTACCAACCACTCCGGGAAGTTCTTATGTGTGTTGGGAACGAAATGCTTATGTGAGACACCTTTCCTTCCAACCTCTCTGAGGTCTCACATCACATCATCTCTGAAATGAAGAAGGCTTACAAGTTCAGGTCCCTATGCCGTGACGGTGATAGACTGGCCATCTCTGAAGGCTTACAAGTTCAGGTCCCTATGCCGTGAAGGTGATAGACTGGCCATCTCTGAAGCTGTGTTCCCTGATACTAAGCTCACTAGGAGGAAGAGACAGTAGCATCACCATGGCTCACTTAGAAGTTAAAACTAAGACACATACAAAAAATTCTATAAAAACTTTATTACATCGTTCTGTTGAACACTGACAAGGAGCAGATGGCTTGTGTGAAAGTATCTGTACCCCCAGAGAGACCTCAGAGGGAAATCAGAATGTATTACTGTACTCATGGGTCAGCAGCA